CAGCTTCAGGGATTGCTACTGTTACCTAACAGGTAGCAGCCAGGAATGCTGGTAAATAATAATCAACAATACAGTCCGTCCCACACAATAATGAATTATGTGGCCTAAAATGTCAATAGTTTTAAGGTTGAGAAATTTTAATTTAGTCTAAATGACTGCTAAGGTTAGCAAAGCTGCCTGACGACCCCAAAAGGCTCAAATCCTTTGATTTGTTAGGCAATCAATTGACTCAATTAAAGAGATTGATAACAAGAGATTTCTTCTCACTCTACACTTTTTCTCTAGAGAGTCTCATCAATGTCAAAGCTTCAATTGTAACCTATATGCTGTGAACCCGCACATTTTTATCTTTTGTGAGTCACAGATTCACATACTCGACTGTATTTTCGACACCTCAATCTGATTAGGGCATTTACACTCTCATACGTCCAGTGTGAATGTGTCATCTTCCCCCACCTCACTTGCTCAGCATGCGCACCTACCTAGATGCCCAGGGTAAAGAGTTGAGAGCTTCTAACTTCTCCTTACCTTCACCCTTTCTTTGTATGCAGCCCACCCCCAAGTACTGTCAAGTCAGTCTCTTACTTGCTTATTTAAATCTTATTCTGCCCCACATCCCTCTAGACTGAAGTACAATCATCTCTCTCCTGAACTATTGCTGTAGCTTCCTAATCATCTTGATTTATATCAGCTCTGCCCCTTCCAGTCTACTCATCACACTACAGCTAGAGTGATGGTTTGAATGTGCAAAACTGATTGCGTTGCTCCCCTGCTTATAATTTTCTAATGTCCTCCATTGCTCCGAAGTCACAGATCAAAATTCTGCAGTCAGAAATTGTTTGACACCTGCCCACATCACCAGACTATCTAGCACTATTTACTTCATCTCTCTATGTTATACGCACTTCATCTGCTTTCTGTCTGACAAAAGCATCATTCTCCTTCCCGGCCAGTGCCTTCATTCAGGCTGTTCCTTCTGCCCAGAGTGCTCTTTCTTCCTTTTGTTTACAGCTTTCCAGAGAAAAAAATATTATTCATTAAATATACATATAGCAACTAGAAATCTGTATTACTCTTAAAAATCTTTATTTGAAAAGATATGATTCTTAGAATTAAATAAATATTCTTATAAACAGTTAAAAGTTAGTTGCTTGAACATGGTTTTAAACTTTCTATTTTACTGTTTTCCTTTTTATTGTGATTATAATCATACAATTTATTAGAATTTCTTTTCTTTTCTTTTCTTTGTTTTTCAACAGTCTCACTCTGTTGCCAGGCTGCCAGGCTGGACTGCAGTGGTGCCATCTTGGCTCACTGCAACTTCCGCCTCCTGGGTACAAGCGATTTTCCTGCCTCAGCCTCCCGAGTAGCTGGACTACAGGCACGTACCACCATGCTCAGCTAATTTTTGTATTTTTAGTAGAGATGGGATTTTACTGTGCTGGCCAAAATGGTCTCGATCTCTTGATCTTGTGATCCACCCACTTTAGCTTCCCAAAGTACTGGGATTACAGGTGTGAGCCACCGTGCCCAGCCTCTTTTTTTTTGTTTTGTTTTAAATAAAGTCTTGCTATGTTGCCCAAGCTGGAGTGCAGTGGTGTGATCTCAGCTCATGGCAATCCCCCCACCTCCTGGGCTCAAGCAATTCTCCTGCCTCAGCCTCCAGAATAGCTTGGACTACAGCCATGAGCCACCACACATAGCTAATTTTTGTATTTTTAATAAAGACGGGGTTTTGCTATGTTGGCTAGGCCGGTCTTAAACTCCTTACCTCCACATCAACACCCCAAAGTGCTGGAATTACAGGCATGAGCCAGTATGCCCAACCTATATTTCAAAATTTTTAAATGTCTCTCTCATCTATTAGAATATGAGTCTGGTAGATAGTGTTTACCATTAAGTTTTTAGTACATGACACAGTATCCAGCACAAAGTTGGTGTTAAGATTAATCAACATGTTCCAATCAGAATTGCTCCATTTCCCATTAGGTAATGTTCAAGCCAGGCTTGCATGCCCACCCTTGCTAGTTTCTATTGCTGTTATAACACATGACCACAAATGTCATAGCTTAAAAGAAGGTACATTTATTCTCTCACAGTTCTGGAGATCAGAGGTTCAAAATTAGTTTCACTAGAGTAAAGCCAAGATGTCAGAAAAGCTGATTTCTTCTTGAGGCTTTAGGAGAGAATTCATCTTTTTGCTTATTTTAGCTTCTAGTGGCTGCAAAGTTCCTTCAGCTGTTTAACACCCAAGAGCTTGGGAAATAGGAAGTGGACATATTTTGGTGGGGGAGGGACACATTATTCAGCCTACCACCCCCCCTTTGTCAAAAAACCAAAATATGGAAGAGTTCGATCCAAATTGGAAAATGAAGCATAGATGAAGAGACATCACATGCGAGTCAAGAGACCATGTTTTAGATCTGGTGTGGCTACTTCCTAGTGGTGAGATCCTTGATAAACCCCTTCATTTCTTCAAGCCTCCTCTTCAAAATGCTGGAGCAAAGCAGGTGACTTCTTCCCTTCTGTGATCCTGGGCTCCCAGTGGTTATATGCTATAGTGTGATTTTATTCTGTCCTCGTGGCTTCACATGGCTGACATGGCTTCAGGAACACAAAAGAAGAGCAGAAAAAGGTTTCAAGATCCCATACCCTGCCACTGTGAATGAAAGAGAGTTTCTTGCTGCTGAATTTCCTCCAGGTCCCCATCACAGCCTGGTTTCAATTTTGGTGAGAAGGGAGACAGAGAAACAGATCATGTCTGTAACATAACAAGCTCTGAACCCTTCCTCCTTTATGGTTTCTTTAAATACGAACATAGAGTACCCCTTCTCAAAAAACGTAAAACGGGAATATGCCATCAAAGTATAACTATCTATTACCTACACACCCCTTAAAAAATAAAAGGAAAATAATAAAAGAGCTAAAATTATTGTCCACTCATCTGGCATGAATTATTACATTCTAGATAACTTTGTCATAAACAAAACCAAACAAAAAATATGGTCTTAGTCACTAGTTGATTGCACACTCAGATTAAGAATTCCAGTCCGGTTGTGGTGGCTCACGCCTGTAATCCCAACTTTGGGAAGCCAAGGCAGGCAGATCACGAGGTCAAGAGATCGAGACCATCCTGGCCAACATGGTGAAACCCGTCTCTACTAAAAATACAAAAAAAAAAAAAAAAAATTAGCTGGGTGTGGTGGCACACACCTGTAGTCCTAGCTACTTGGGAAGCTGAGGCAGGAGAATCACATGAACCTAGGAGGCAGAGGTTGCAGTGAGCTGGGATCAGGCTACTGCCAACTGCACTCCAGCCTGGCAACAGAGCAAGACTCTGTCAAAAAAAAAAAAAAAGAATTCCAGAGTGGATCAAAATAGAGGACTTATGTCTTTCAGCCTATCTCAGTGCCCAGCAAGAGTAAGTGGCCAATGAATATGAAATGAATTGAGTCAGGCACCTATAATTTTTTCATAAAGTATGAATATGTACATGTGATTCAGAGTGGATCAAGTAGATCTATCTATTCCTGAGTGTGCTTAGAAGCACTGAGAGGCAGCTGTGTGTGTGGAATGGAAGTCATTGCTGTGAACGTAACCAAAAATTTAACAGCAGAGAGCTTTCAGGGTATGCGTTAGCTTTTCCTGTATTTCAATAGCCCCTTGAGATATTCGAAAAGAAAGAGAAATAGAGACAGAGGTGAAGAGAGGGAGAAATTTGATGAGGAAATAAATGGTTAAAAATAAAGTCAAAACTGAGCATGAAAGTGAGGTTACTAAAACCAAGATAAGAGTCGTCCACAGAAACAACCTGTGCTTTGGGAGGAATCCTCACGGCGGGGGTGATCTGCTCCAGAAAAGAACTGATCAAAGGAAATGGTTGGTGTTCGGCAAGGTTTTTACTAAAGCCCAGCCTCCCTCTAGTGGGCAGACAGAGCAGGACAATATCCTTACAGGGTGTGTGCTCTTCGGGGTTAAATGTCCTTTGGAATCAAGATTGTTCCTGTTTTCTTTTTTCTTGTTTCTTGTTTCCTTTTCTCTCTTTCCTTTTTTCTTTCTTTCTTTTTCTTTGCTTTTTTCTAAGTGTTTCTTATCTCCTCATCTTGAAGGTTGGATTCTCTTTATCGCTAAAGATGGGAGTTCTGTAGTGCTCCAGAGGTGAGGACAATTATGCTTAAGATGCTTTTGTTTCAGTTTAGTCCTAGACCCAGAGAAAAACATTTCAAATTTTTAAAGTAAATCCTTAGAAGTGTAATTTACACCAGAGCAATTGACCCGGCATTTATGTAGACTGCATCTTGAGAAGCAATACAAATGCTTTTCATTCATTCCCTTGGAAAAGTCCTTAGAATATACTTCCATTGGTCTGAAAACCACCTGAAAAAGAGTTCTGATACTAACCCTAGGGGAAATAGGGGGGCTGAGGGTTCACGATCAGCCCAGTGGTATCCTCTGTTCTATCTGCATGTAGGTAAAGAGACCATGGCTGTATGTGATCAAACAATTTGTTGAAGCGCTTTGGGCCTAGGGCATTTAATTACTGTGATGTAGGCCCACCACTTATTTGCTCTGTTTTTGTGTCACGTCTCAGAATACATTAAAGTAGGGGCAACCCCTGAACCCTGTGAAGAAGCCCCTTTGAACATCCTGACAATCACAGACACCACATAAGTGATCCGCTAATTAAAGAGAGGAGGTGGAGCTGTCCTTTATGTATCCAATAAGAACACATCGTCTAACTTAAGCATGAAAAAAGATCACTGTCATTACTTTTAGGAAGGAAAATAAGCAGGATATCACATATTTTTAGAACCATTCCTCACCAAATGGAATAATTTCAGTGATAAAGTGGGAGTGAGGAAGGAAGAAAAAAAAACCCTTCTAATAATAATGTTTGGAAATAAGAAAGAAAGAGGAAACGCATGTCAAAGCCCACTTTCTCCTGCAGGTGTAAAATAAAGGGTTAAGACTGTTTCCTGCTGAAATTTTGGGGAGGAAAATGGAAGCTGGCGTGTGGGCTTTGCCGGCAGCCCAGCGCTCCCTCGCGGCGCGGCCGCGGCTTGGTTCAGCACCTCGGAAAGCGCCTCTCCCGGCGCCACGGGATTACGCATGCTCCTTGAGGTTCGCCGCCGCGGCCGTGCAAGTGCCACTGCAACTGGTGGGCGCCGCTGGCAACCCACCCGGAGTTGACAACCGCGGAGAGATGCAGACACCCACTGACCTCCGGGCAGCAGAGCGAGGTGGACAGAACCCTAGGATCTCTTTCTTTCCAAGGACGGAAACCTCGTCTAAGCAGTCCCAGAGGAAACAGCCAAAGGTATTTGAAAGAGAGCGAGCGGCCCCAAATCGCACGGTTAAGCGGCTGGGTGAGTTATGCGCCAGTGCCTCAGTGACCGTGGGACACGGAGAGGGGAAGTCTGCGTTGTATATAAGAATCTAGGGACTCCAAGCTTGGCCTGAGAACCCTTGGATGCCCAGTACTTGCCTTTGGGACTGCGCTCCTCAACTCTGCTCCAAAGCAACCGCGGAGCTCAACTTCTGAGTCCAAGGCGGTTGGTTCGCTGTGCGCCAGGACTCGCTGAGTACCCAGTTCCTGAGCTCTATCTTCAGCAGCTACTTTGAAAGCTCCCGCGCACGCCCCGCAGGCTAGCTAGACTGGGAACAAAACAGGGCGAACCGTGTTCTCTTAGGTCTTGTCCTCCGGAACATGACCTAGAGGTACCTGCGCATGCAGATGGTCGATGCAGCCCCGATAGCCACCATGAATAAGGCAGGAGGCGGGGACAGGCTAGCAGAACTCGTCAGTCTGGTCCCGGACCTTCTGGAGGCGGCCAACACGAGTGGTAACGCGTCGGTACAGCTTGGGGACTTGTGGTGGGAGCTGGGGCTGGAGTTGCCGGACGGCGCGGCGCCAGGACATCCCCCTGGCAGCGGCGGGGCAGAGAGTTCGGACACCGAGGCCCGGGTGCGGATCCTCATCAGCGTGGTGTACTGGGTGGTGTGCGCCCTGGGGTTGGCGGGCAACCTGCTGGTCCTCTACCTGATGAAGAGCAAGCAGGGCTGGCGCAAATCCTCTATCAACCTCTTCGTCACCAACCTGGCACTGACGGACTTTCAATTTGTGCTCACCCTGCCTTTCTGGGCGGTGGAGAACGCACTTGACTTCAAATGGCCCTTTGGCAAGGCCATGTGTAAGATCGTGTCCATGGTGACGTCCATGAATATGTACGCCAGCGTCTTCTTTCTCACTGCCATGAGTATGGCGCGCTACCACTCTGTGGCCTCGGCTCTAAAGAGCCACCGGACCCGAGGACACGGCCGGGGCGACTGCTGCGGCCGGAGCCTGGGGAACAGCTGCTGCGTCTCCGCCAAGGCGCTGTGCCTGTGGATCTGGGCTTCGTCCGCGCTGGCCTCTCTGCCCAGTGCCATTTTCTCCACCACGGTCAAGGTGATGGGCGAAGAGCTGTGCCTGGTGCGCTTCCCCGACAAGTTGCTGGGCCGCGATAGGCAGTTCTGGCTGGGCCTCTACCATTCGCAAAAGGTGTTGCTGGGGTTCGTGCTGCCGCTGGCTATCATTAGCTTGTGCTACCTGCTGCTGGTGTGCTTCATCTCCGACCGCCGCGTGGCGGGTACTGAAAGAGGGACCGCAGTAGCTGGCGGAGGCCCGGCCGGAGCCAGTGCTCGGAGACGGTCGAAAGTCACGAAGTCAGTGACCTTCGTTGTCCTGTCCTTCTTCCTGTGTTGGCTGCCCAACCAGGCGCTCACCACCTGGAGCATCCTCATCAAGTTCAACGCCGTGCCCTTCAGCCAGGAGTATTTCCTGTGCCAGGTATACGCGTTCCCTGTGAGCGTGTGCCTGGCGCACTCCAACAGCTGCCTCAACCCCATCCTCTACTGCCTTGTGCGCCGCGAGTTCCGCAAAGCGCTCAAGAGCCTGCTGTGGCGAATCGCGTCTCCTTCACTCACCAGCATGCGCCCCTTCACTGCCACTACCAAGCCGGAACCCGAGGATCAGGGGCTGCAGGCTTTGGCGCCGCTCCACGTGGCCGCGGAACCGGAACTGCTCTACTACCCCCCTGGCGTCGTGGTCTACAGCGGGGGCCGCTGCGACCTGCTGCCCAGCAGCTCTGCCTACTGAGGTCCAGGGCGCGCTGTAGGGGCAAGGTGGCCTTCCCCACGCGGTGAAGGAGGTGAACAGATTAAGGAAGGCTGCGTGGGGGAGGGGGGACATTCAAGAAGTAGGTGAGAGGAGGATGAGCAGCCTGTGTATAGGCCGGAGAACCTTTCCTGGAGAGGGCATGCTTTGAAATCAGGTGGAGAGAGGAAGCTGGCAAAGGGGCAGAGACGAGCCCCACGGGCCGGACCTTCAACCTCGGTTCCACACCCCACAGCCTCTCCTTACTTTGCCCACGCTGGGCAGTGTGGGGTCGCCCAGAAGCAGAGAGAAGCAGCAAAAATGTAAAGAAATTGGCACAGGGAGCGGAGCTTAATCAAATGATGCGCAGACAATTGTGCCCGTTTATTCCAGCGACTTCTGCGGCAAACTCTCCTTTGCTACTTGGTTAACTAGACTGCAGCAGCGCTAAGGTTCTGCTTGCTGCCGGGCTGCCCCAGGAATATTGAGTTTGGAGGCAAGAAACGTTTTTGAAGTTAAGAAAAAGAACTAACCCTTATGGTCCGTCCCCAGGACAAATGGCAAAGGAAAGTCACCTCCCATGGAGCCATTGTACCGATTGTCATTCCGGACGGGGCTAGCATGGAGTCATTGTATCGATTGTCATTCCGGACTGGGCTAGCAGGAACGTGCTAAGCCAGATCTAGCTGCAAAGCCCGGGAGCGCAAACGTTAACAGGGGATAACACCTGTCACGAACTTGGGAGAGCGATTCTCTGGGGAGTGGCATCACTGCCGGAGGGAGCGGACACAGTGTGATTAGAAGGGCTAAATAGGGAAACTTCTTCAGGCTGCTGCCCCGAAAGGTAAAAGGAGGCTCATATGCTCAATCAGTAGCAGAGTTGGAAGTGGCGCTCTGGTGCGTTGGGCTCTGGAAGCCCGGGCGCTCCATTTCCTGTGAGAGCACCTTGGGTGCCTGTACGCACTCTGGTCTGTGTGCTGCCGGTGAGCTGGGCCCAGGAGCATCCTGAATAGCTCTACCGGGAGGAGTGGGGGCACTTCTGCAGTTCCTCCCTTCCCATGCTTTGAGAATCAAGCCGTCCCTTTGATTGAGGCTCTGGACCTGCGAGTAGAGGGATGGTTCAGTATTTTTTGTTTGTTTTTTGGTGTCGTTTTGTTTTGGGGGGGTAGGCTTAGATAGAAGAGCAAGAAATGCCGCAGAAACGTGCAAGGGGAATGGCGGCGGCGGGGTGGCAGAGTGCGGAACATGGAAACCAAATTCCTAGAAGCTGGGTCAGATCTTTCAAAAGGAGGTGTGGGGTAGGAAAGAAAATAGAAGGTCCATGTACTCTGTCCTAAAGGGAGCAGAATACTGGAGAAAAACCAGAATTTCAGGTGTGGGCGTCTTTATTGCTTTTATTATTGACAAGAGAAGGTAGGAAATAGAAATTCCCATGGGACAGTACCATCGCCGATTTCCATTTATTCTAAAGAGTGCTTTACACAGTGAGCATGCATGACAAATTCTTCCCCAGCCTCCAGACAGTTTATGGAGCTGTCTCTGAAGACACACAGTTCTCATGTTGACTCTGTTCTTATCACAGCAGTTTAAGGTGTTAAAACCCCTCACAACGTCCTTTCTTGAGGCTCTTCTGAGAACTGGAATCCAACATCCGTCTACTCACCCATCTGCCGGCTTTGATAGAGGTACTACTGCTCTCTTTGGCAACCTAGTTTGGGGTCAGGAAATCAATGATGCAGGCACCCACTGGGTGGTTAACAGCCATTCATAAAACATGTCTGTTTAAAGAGCCTCTTAAAGAGAATCGTTTAGTAATGTTGTTGAAAGTTTTCTGTAGTAGCTGAGATTCAGGGCTCAAAATGTGAGATCTACAACTCCCACTTTCCTTGCCCCGCCTTCTGTGATTGTAAAACACTGCAGTGACTAAACACTCATGCCTTCCCACAAAAGCAAAAGGTGCCAGTCTCGATCCTGAGCAATCCTGAGAAGTCAGCTCTTTTAGAAAACAAAATGGTGTGTTTGTTTTGAAGCAGTACATTGTTTTCTTCACCCTTTGGGAAGAGCATTTATTGATATTGATATTGAATAGCAATTGGGCTAACAAAGACTGAAATGAAGCTCCACAAAAATTCCCCAAATACAAAATCCATGAAAAAGTAAACACAGGAAAGAGCCAACAGGAGTGTGGTAGCAGATCCATCTATAACACTGATAATAGACTCCTACTGAGAAAGTCTTATCAAAGCACCTTGCCATTTCAATTTTAACAATAAAATAATGTGTGGGTAGCTCAGAATTTTTAGGAAAAGGTGTTGAAGTTGGTACATCTGTGGCTATGGACACTAGAAAAACAGAAGAGAAGGAGCTGGAGGAATGGTCTTTAAAAAGAAAAAAAACCTCTGTAAAAAGGGTCACTTTGTCCAAATCCCAAGCTCAGGGCTTCAGAGAGCATGGCAGGAGGGATCAAAGATCATGACTTTGACCTACCACAAGGACAAAGGGTCACCAAGGAAATGCTCAGATCAACTGTAATCAACAATTACTTTTTGAGCACCTGTTGTGTGCCAACCCCTGTGCAGGGTACTGAGGTCATGTACATGAACCAGAGAAATTTCTGACTTCCACATGTAATAGGACAGACAGCCATGAGCACAAGAAGATAAGACAGTTGAATGTCAAAATAAGGCTGAAAGAAAAACAAAGGAAGGAAAGGTTGATCCCGCTAGGAGATCAGACTTCCTGGTCAAAATAATATTTGAGATAGGCCTAGATATAGGGGCACAATTTGGGCAGAATGGCAAGGGTGGGTTGGGAGGTAGAGAGGATATTCAAAGCTCATAATATGTGGTGAGTAAAAGCTTTGATGTTGGAATGTCAGCTGCTTGGTGGGGGAAGCAGGAAGCAAAGTAGTAGGGATTCTTTTTCTCCTGTAGGATTTCCCAAGATTTCTGTTAAGAGTATATGCCCTTGTACTAGCTTTATTTGTCTGGAGAAAGGAAATTTCTTTTGCCAGAAAGAATATGTCATTGCTATACTGAGAACAAATACTTAGATACCCAAATGTCGTGGAAGACTCAAAATTCGATTATATTTATTCATTCAAACCTCAAGGGAGTTGAGTTCGATGAGCATTTGCATATTTGTGTGTGTGTGTGTATGCATGCATGCACACACATGTACCCTGTGGTTAGTAAGGGATGACTACATTTGACTTCTTGGGGATTTAATAAGATGACCCTCAGCTATGGGCCACCTTTCCAGCTGGCCCATCTATTCATTTCCAAATCTTCCACATCAAAACAGTTATTGGAGAAATGGGCAGGAAATAAACACTGAACCCTGGAGAAGATTCCATTTTTAAACCTTGCAGAGATCAAGTACAGGTAGGGGAAGCCAGAGAGATGGCTTGTTGCTGTTTCTTTTCTAATGATAAGAGCTATGTGCCATGAGGTCCTCTGAGCATTTACTCATCCTCATCCCACACAATGGGGTTGGGAGCAGGTGTCTTCCCTAATGGCTTCTCTAACTGAGTCATTAACTTATTTCTCCAGGATGGATGATGGCAGGGGGCTAAGAGGGTGGAGTAGAGAAGGGGTAGCTTTGCATATATTCTGTAAAAAGAATAAGATTATTTTATTTGGGAGTGAATATACTAATAGAATACAGGAGGACCTGACTGGGAAGCAGAAAATGAGAAGCACCCATGTGGAGAGGAAGGGAGTGAGGCTTGGAGGGTGATAAGTAAAACAGCATGCTCAAGCCTGAGAAGACAGCCTCGCTGGGTCTGGAAAACACCAGAGATTTGGGAGAATGGGACACACTGCAGGAGTCTGGATATTGAAGCCACATGTCCTGCAGGTGACGAGGTTGAGCATGGGGTGGGAAGAAGTGACCACTTTAGCATAAGCCCCTGCCCCCGACATACACACCAGAAGTGGCCAGATTCATGAGGGCATTTCAGATATCCTGCTCCACACCACTGGCACTGCCTCAGTCACAGGTGCAAGAACCAAGTAGCAGCAAAGAGTGGGCTCTTTAAAGGCGAAGGAGGCAGTCATAGAATTGAAGCAACAAAGAGGAAGCCCAAACAGCAGCAGGAGGCAGAGAGTGCGTGTGAGATATCAGAGATGCCACTGCCTTTTGAGACCTTGGAGAGATTAGGAAGGAGAAGGAGGCTGCAGCACAGAATGACAACAAATGGCTCTATGCTCCTAGGCTGGCCGACTTCGGCAGGTACTGCCCTTAGACCTGGGCAGCCAGGACCCCTGGTCTGGATGTCATCATTAGAGGACCCTGTTCTGCACCTGCCCCTTTCCACATAGCAAGCAGTTCACAGGGCCTCCTGGAGCCTGTGCCTCCCCAATCTTCCCACCTGCTAGATTATGCTTCTGTAGCTGAGACCTTAGATTCCTTGTCCAAATTGCCCTGAGTCTACTTACAAGGAATCCATGGGTCCTTTCTTGAGTCCATCCTCCAGAGCAAAGTCCATGCTGCTGAGTCTGTCCACCCTTAGGTGGTTAAGGGTAGCCATTTGTAGAAGCGGTAGATGGTGGAGGCAGGTGGGAGGCTACAGATGTGGAGCAGAGAGAAGAGTGGGGGAAGCAGAGAAGAGGGATGGGCTATGGACCACGTGCCTCCATTCATGCTCTTGCCCTGGACCATGCAGATGTGAGCAGCTGTATGAAGGAGGACCCAAAGCCCAGCAAAAAACAATCAGAGCAGGCCTGCTCTTCTCAGGAGGCTGCAAATGAGCTGACCCTGCAGGGGCCTGGCCATGCTACGGAATCCACTCATTCTCCTAGGCACTGGACACACAGAAGCAACACCCCAAATCCCAAATGTCCCAGTTCTAAAAAGCAGCTCATTTCCCTTCTCCACATTCCCTTCCAGCACCAATGATTTTGGTCAGTTACAAGTTGAGCTGAGACAATAGCTACTCTACCAGATCCTAGATCAAGTAAGAAGACGAACCACCCAATTCTAACTTCTACAAGTGTGGGCAGATCTCTATTCTGCACTGGTCGGGCACATTCAGGGTTGGGTAGGCAAATACTTAAGACTGGGGCAGATCTATTGGGGACAGGACAGTGAGTCTTTAACAGTAGTGACGATCGCTAGCTCCAATCAAATGCCAGACACCAAGCTAAGTGCTGTCCATACAGAAAGCAGCAGAACCAAAGTGGCTGTGTTCAAAGCCCAGCTCTGTCACTTAAGAATTGTGTGGTTTCAGACAAGTTCTATCTTTCTGCCTCCATTTCTTCATCTAAAAAATGGAGATTGGTAACAGCGCCCACTTCCGCAATTGCTGTTATCATTAAAACATTTAGAATAGTGGTAAGGACTCCATCAATATCACAGTTTGTGTTTTGTTGTTTGTTTGTTTGTTTTGAGACCAGAAGAACTCACTTTGTCTCCCAGGGTGGAGTGCAGTGACACAATCATAGCTCACTACAGCCTCGGTCACCCAGGCTCAAGCAATTCTCCTACCTCAGCTCCTCCAATAGTTGAGACTGCAGGCATGCACCACTATGCCCAGCTAATTTTTAAAACATTTTTTGTAGAGAGAGGGTCTCCCTAGGTTTCCCAGGCTTTTCTCGAACTCCTGGCCTCAAGTGCTGGGATTACAGGTATGAGTCACCATGCCTGAACCAATGTTATGTATTATTAGTCATCACAACTCTGAGATAGCAATTCTCATCACAAATGTCTAAGTGAGCAAGGGTGTCTTGGGGAGATTACATAGTTTGCCGCTGAGTGGCAAAGCCGGGATTCAAAACCAACTTATTCCAAAACATGATTTTTATTAAACCGTGCTGTCTCTCAAGGCGGCTGAAAACCTCACCATGCGGAAAGCAGTTGAAGGGGTATGGTTAAAGAAAAACTGCTTAGCTTGGAGAAGAGAAGATCATAGCAGAAACAGGGGGTTGTTTTTTCCAGACTTTCATATCAAATCCAGAGGACAAAACAAGGGTGCTGACTAGAGAGAAATATTTTTACTGTTCTATGAAATGAACTATTTTAAAGTGGTGACTCCTCCAGCATGAGATGTTTGAGTAGACTTGTCAGGGGTATCATAAAGTAATAGGAATTATGAGCAAATTATGAATAAATCAATATCAGAGAAAAAATTACTAGTAATATTTTGAATATTCGTGAATTTGATGAAATATATGACTCCCCGGCTGAGCGTGGTGGCTCACGCCTGTAATCCCAACACTTTGGGAGGCCAAGTCAGGCGGATCACCTGAGGTCAAGAGTTCGAGACCAGCCTGACCAACATGGAGAAACCCCATCTCTACTGAAAATACAAAATTAGCTGAGTGTGGTGCTGCATACCTGCAATCTCAGCTACTCAGGAGGCTGAGGCAGGAGAACGCTTGAACCCAGGAGGCAGAGGTTGCAGTGAACTGAGATCATGACATTGCACTCCAGCCTGGGCAAGAAAAGTAAAACTCCATCTCAAAATATATATATATATATATGACTCTCCAATATATATGGACCCCGTGGCAAAAAATCAAATCAAATCACTTCATAGAACATATCCAAGCATTGTGTGTGGAATTAGTCTGCTTCTCGGGCCTCAGCAAGGCCTGTAATGCCCTGTGGAAAGCAGCTCCTTCCTCTCCCACCCCTGCACCGAGATGCAACAAGGAAGGCATGTGTAGGTGCTACCACCCACACTTACCCCCTGCCACCAATGCATGGGGGCATAGTCCAGGCAAAGGTTGCCTGAAATATGGGGACTGTTGTGCAGAGGTTTGGTTGAAAGTGAGAGGTGGGCAGATACCATGGCTGAAATCACAATACCGGGCATCCAATGGACAGACCCTAAGAATCAGAGCTGCAACTTCCTGCCATGTGCTTCACTGTGTCTGAGGTTAGGATCATTGTCTCTTTATTGACCTAATCTACGTATCTAACAAAGAGAGCCACAAAGCAACAGCCTATCAGTGCCACCGCAGACGCTGTGATCACCACGATGACGACACTCCCAGCTGTGTTGACCAGAAAGCCCAGGCCACCTCCGACCAGGATCTGAGCCAGCTGCACCATGCAGGTGAGGGTGGCACAGTCCATGCCCTTCCCTCTCATGCTGTTGTCTGGGTCCCCTCCTGGGACTTGCTGCCTCTGCAAAAAAATCACAGGAACACCATTTGATCCACAAGGAACTATCATTTAGGGCACAGGTCGGCAAACTTTCTGTGACCAGCCAGATAGTAAATACCATTGGCTTTGTGGATTATACGGCCCTGGTCATAACTATTCAACTCTGCCATTGTAGTGCAAAAGCAGGGGCAATGTGGAGCTGGGTTGGGATTCCAATATATATTGATGAACATTAGCATTTGATTTCATGTAATTTTCATGAATTGGCAATGTGGAACTGAACTGAATATTTATAGCTACCAGCATTTGATTTCATGTAATTTTCACTTGTCACAAAATATTATGCTTCTTTTGAAATTGTTTTCAATCATTTAAACTTTAAAAAGGAATTCTTAGCTCATGGACTGTACAAAAACAGTACAATGTAGTGGATACTCAATAAATACCCCATTCTTTTTCTTTCTTAGTGTTAAAAATTCAATCTTTCAAAATATGGTTGCTACTTGATTAACATAATAATATTTGGTTAATATTGATATTTGGTCTGAACTGGTCAATAACTTTGCCATTTGTTGGCTATCTCTTATGTGCTGGGCCTGTATACATTTTTTTTACATGTTACTTTATTTCAACCTCGCCACCTCCCTAGATGCACATGTTATTATCATTACCTCCGTGATAACAATTATAATGCTGGCTATCATCTTTTGAGTCTTTGTCAGGTGCTAGGTGGCACTATGCTAAGCACATCCATTATCTTGTTAACTTTGCTATAAGCTATATAACATTCTTTCCATTTGCCTCTTGAGGAAACTGAGGATTTGCGAGTTCAAATGATGATTTCCTACACTATTAGGCCAAAAAAAAAGCATTTTGCTGAAAAAGGCATATTATCCTTTGACTAAGAAAAAAAATAAGAAAATAGATTTACATTTGCTTGGTTTTATTTTAAAATGCTGGAGAGATTAACGAAAAACTAATAAAAGTGGTAACACATTGGGATCGGAGGGAGATAGTAAATGTAAAGAGAGTACACAGTGTCCACTTTTGTATATCATTGTGAATATATTATCTCACCTAAAATGAACTCATTCTAAGTGCTACCTAATAAACAAATAAATAACATCCCCAGTGTTACACAGCTTCCAAGTGGAAGAGGCAGGATTTGAATCCAGGTCTCTCTGAGTCTGAAGTGTAGGGTTTTTTTACCTCAGTACCATGTAACACTCTCTTTGGAGGGACAGTTTTATTATGACTATCCCATTAACAGCAACATCCCTGTCATGCACTGAAACCTTGGTGAGCCAGGAGATGAGGACAGCCACGACTCTTGTTTGAAAGGTTTTTGCTCCTGGTGTAGCTCTGCCCTGCTGCCAGATCAAATGATGAAAAAGATGGCCAGAATTATAGTCCCCATGGATATGTGTTTGGTGTTTTTGCAGTTTCATGCTGAGCTGGATTAAACTTATCTCTGTAGCTTTTACATCACTGCTCCAGTTAAGGAACTGTATGCCTATTTTCATGGGAAGAAAGTTGCAAGTGTTAATAAGAAGAGGTGGTAATTTTAGAGTGGAAGTACCAACTCTGTTACAAGCACTGCTTAGACTCTTGTTGACTGTTGAGTTCCAAGGTTTAAATGGTGCATGTCCCATTCAGGGCAGCAAAGTGGGGATCACCATCTGTGATTCCAGCTTTCCTTCTTGCACATAGGATCTAGTCTGGACTCCATTGCCTAGGACTTTCCTACCCTCAACAAATAACGCCAAGAAATTCCATCATGAACCTCTGCAGATTAGGAGTAGGGAACCCTTATTGTGGGTATCCAGAAATGCTGCAGGTGCACTAGAGAGACCTATGAGGCATTTATAGAAAAACTGAGTCCCCCTTTTTCGTCTCTGTGTAATTGTGGGCTGGTTTCTCACACTCATGCAACCTTCTCTTTCTAATCAGAAAAATGGGAGTAACACTCCTTGCCCTACTTCTCCCTAAGTGCGCAGGGGTTGAGAGTTAGGAGGACAGGAGAGCTAACTCCTAACTGGGTTGGGCTGGGCTTGGCTGGTGGGCATGCCTGTACCAGATCATGGTTGCAGTTAGTTGAGCATTTTACTGCGGCTGTTTCAACCCTCCTTTCCAGCTCTGCTCTACACATTGCTACCAAATCCTTCCCAACCTTCAGATGAGTCTGGATGTTACCCAAGGTAGAGGTTCAATGGCAACACACCTCCTTTTCTTCCTCTCGGTGGTACTCCGTAATGAGGTTAAAGGGCACAGTGTACAGGGTGCTGGACATTACACCAAATAGGCTGCACAGGACCAGGGTGGAGTAGACATTTGGGAAGAGCCCAATAAATCCTGTCCCCAGGCCAAACAGCAAATATCCCGTGAAGTAAAGCCCTTTTAATCCAATATAGGATACCAAAACTTTCTGAAAGTCTGTGGGAAGAAGAGAGGGAGAAATTACAGCTGGCAGTGCCTCACAACATTTAATAATTTTAGACAGTCCTTTCTTCTGAACATTCACTTTTTTAGACTTCCTTTGTTACTGAGCCAGCAACAAAAGAATCCCCTTATCTGTGGGTTGAAAACAGCTGGCTTTTGGAACCATTTTTAAAACCTCTGCATAAAGGACAGCTTGAAATTGCCTTGCTAGTCTGATTTGTTTTTCTACAAAGAAGGGTCTGGCACTGTTTAGCAGACAGCTGGATAGCAAAAAGAAGCAAGAGAGGTGGTGGAAAAGCTGACCCTAACTATGGGGCCCTGGGGCTGCAAGAAAAGTGTGGGTTATTCTGACTCAGGTGGGCTGTGGCCTCATAGGACCAAAACAACCACACAGGGTTGTTGGGTTGTTTGGCCTATCTTGGCCCTAGGACCCAAAGTCAGGTTGGAGAAAATTGAAACAACCAGAATTTACAGGATGATCTAAGTCATTCATGATTTCTTAGTCCCCATCTGAATGGAGTCTGCACACCCGAGAAGGAGGTAAAGCATGTGCAATTAACTGAAGACACTTTCCCCGACTTGTCAATTCTTCCTAGGCTGGTAAGGAGCTCCCACAGCAACCACCATCTCCTCATCACTGGTTCCCTATCTCTTGGTAAACAAGTTCCTTGACTTCTCATCACCCCAGCTTTGTCATCTGAAACCTGGGAATAATAAAATCTCTTTTGGGGTGTTGCCAGGATCAAGTGAGATGAAATGTCTATGAAATCATCTGAAAACTGGGAATAATAAAACTCTCTTTTGGGGTGTTGCCAGGATCAAGTGAGATAAGTGTCTATGAAATCACCCAGCCCAATGCCTACCACGTAGAGAACATCCAATTAATGTGGCTAATGCTACTGCAAAAAAGACGGCTGAGCTGGGGATGGTTGTCCCTTAACTGGGTTCCTCTTCCAGCAGGTCCACTTGGCTTGCTCATACTAGTATAGTGGTAGGGCTAACTTTTAAAAATAAAAAATTCTGCTTTAAACATTTTACAAGACTTTCCACAATGGCAAGAAAAAAATACCTAAAATTTTTTTATCTTCCTTTCTTAATCAGTTGTTTTTAATCCACACATTCCTCATCTTTCCCCTGCTCCATTCTCCTGGAACACATGAATCAGGGGGATAAATAACAGATACTTGAAATGTGGCTATTCAAGAATGAAATTTTCCGTATCTATTAATATAATTATTGGACTTCCACTTTGTAGACAAGCAACCTTATTTGTAGTACATTCTAATCAATTATGAAACTAACATTGTCTCACATTGTCTGATGGAAGACAAAGCTCTGGAAATGAAACGTGGGCGACATTGCTTCCTCTATTAAACTTATACCATGCCTGGAGGACTGTTGTTAAGGCTGGGAATTGTTTAAAAAATCAGAATAAGGCTATATCCGTTTTTGTTTACTTAATAATTATGTTTATGCAGAAAATATAATCTAAGGTGCCTCAATACCTAAAAGATACTATCAATACCCATCAGGGAAATGCTCTTATCCAAGTGTGCATGTCAGCAGAGGAGAAGGTAAAGAGGTATTTGGAAACATAAGTAATTTCAGAACAGACTGAAAGTCTGGAAAAGAATACTTTATTCACAAAAAGAATTCAATGAACTTCAGGGCCAACCTTGCATCGCCCTCTGATGGGTCTGATACGCAGTGGTAGTCATATCCTCACACAATGCTTCTCTTCAGGACTGGAGGGAAATGTGATAGATTTCAGCACCAGCTATGACTAGTAGTGTATGATATTATGATATGAACAATTGGCCATCTCTTAGTACTCAGTGCTGTTATTCTAATTGGTATACGTGTACTCGCTGTATACAAAAGGAGCTTGGAAACAAGTCCCTATCAGCGTTCTCAACCTCAGCAGGTAGATTGTCCTGCCAACCTCCATGTGGATAGAAACTCTGAATCTGCTCCTGATGTTATGTGATGAGTTCAAAACAGAGGGTAATACAGCGAGCTCTGGAGGTAAAGGAAATGATTGATTCTGCCCCAGTGGGTTGAGGGAATGAACCCAGCTTAAATATTACTTCCTCAATGAAATCAAACTTGAGTGATTTCATTGAGGAAGTAATATTTAAGCTGGGTCTAAAAATGTTATTAGAAGTTGTATAGTTGGGGAAGTAGAAAGAGCAGTTCAGGTAGAGAAACTAAAAGCAGCAGCAAATACACACAGATGAGAAAGTCTGCATAGTGGATCATTGAGGGTAATTAATTGAAATGGGAGTGAAAAAGGGCAAAGTATGAACTAGGCCAAACTGTGAAAAGCTCAGAAATTTGACTTTATCCTATAGGCATGGAGAGCCCCTAAAATCCTTGAGCAGAGATGGCTGGTGTTTTATAAACAAAATGTTGATTGAATTCACGATGGTAAGGATCCCATAGATTTATACATTAATAAAACTTTGGAAAACTATTCAACTAATGATTTATTTTGTAACTGGAAAGGCTTTTAACTAGAAGGGACCTAAAAATAACATCCTTTAAAGTTTCAAATGCCATAAAATTTATGCAGACAAGACTAATGGAACAGTATCTAGTAGGGGTTTCTTGAGGAAAAAAAAAGAAGTTTAGATGGGCACATTTTTTTTCTTGCAAAGATGAGGGTAGGGCTTGATGCAGTGCCTCGTGCCTGTAATCTCAGCACTTTGGGAGGCTGAGGCAGGAGGATCACTTGAGCCCAGGAGATCAAGACCAGCCTGAGCAATGTAGGGAGACCCCATCCTATGAAAAAAATTTAAATATTAATAAGCCAGGCACAGTGGCATGTGTTTGTGGTCCTGGGTACTTAGGAGGCTGAAGCTTGCTTGAGCCCAGAAGGTTGAGGCTGCAGTGAGCCATGATCATGCACTGCACTCCAGCCCAGGTGGCAGAGTGAGACCTTGTCTTAAAAAAGAAGAAAAACAAACAAACAAAAAGAATGAGGGTAGTAGTAAATAGTCCTCTCAGCCCATGAAATCACAAAGACTTAAGATGGATAATTTACTAAACCCTTTTAGTCTAACATTCTTTTATTCTATTTTAAGTGCTTGAAATCCTCCTGGAATTTTTCTTAGTTCACACACTCCAAGAGGAAGAAAAGAGTTTGCTAAATAAATGTGAACTTTAAGCACCATTATATCAGTATCATAAATTTTAAAATAATGAATGTTGTGGTGACATGATTATTGGGCTCATGAACTTTTTCCACGTTTATATGAGGTCCCCTTTTCCCAATTGTGCTCAATTTTTAAGCGATCTTGAGGCAGGTCTTCTGCTGTGCTATGGCAGGTGAAGGGAATGGAAAGGGGCCCTCACATACATCCACCCTTCCCCCACCCCCACAAGAAGCAGGCTAACAGTGACAGAGTGAATCCACCTGAGAATGGTAACAGGGATTCTCCCCAACTCTTTCCGCTTCCTTCACCAGGGCCATACCCATGCTGTCTCTTAGACCTGTCCAAAGCCCAGAGCCCTGAGTTGAGGTCAGTTATTCTTCCAATCTTGCAGAAGAAGAGCTCTTTATAATTAGGAGAACTGCATACATTTTTCAGGCCAGACTTTTCACTTAATTCAATGTATACAGAGCTTGGAGATATCCACACACAGGAGCAAGTACAATGCAGCCTGTGTGATGCCCTGGAGTTGCAGCACAGCTGCTTGGACTTCCTTAAAGACAACAGCAGAAATTCCTTTTTCAGTGTCTTAACAGCTGCAACCTAGTTAAGTAGAGGTTAAGAGGCTCAGAAAAGCTGACACCTGGGAAGAAAAGCCAACTGTCCCCAGTCCCGGCATGGTGCTCCTATAACCTACCATGCTACACATCTGAGCTAAGGTCACTTTACATGTTGATTTTGTCACCTGTTATGTTAATATCCCTTCCCTTCCGCATCATCTACAAATCTGATAAGTCTGTCTATGCAACGTCACCAATGACCTTGCTCCAGTAGAACATGAACCTGCTGGGACTTGTCCATCCAACACTTCATCTTGTAAAGATTCCCTTTTATTTTCCAGAGAATCTTGATCAGGAACTCACTGATTCCAAATACAAAGTAATTGGTGAGGGAAATGACACCTAGAATTCATGATGAGAAAAGGATGCTTCATATGGTCCTTTCTAAAGTAATAGTTTTTCCTGATATCCATAGATTTATTAAGAATCTGATATTTTAAACAGTAGGAAATAAACATAGAAATATCAAAGCCTAGTTATGCCGGACCAGAGACCTTTAGAAGACATCCTTAGGAAAGAGAGAGACTTACAAGAATAAAGTGAGGAAAATATAGAGTTGATGCACAAGCCCCAGCATCCGACCTCGACTCCTCTTTCGTAGATAAGAAACTCCGTGGAGTTGTGTGCGCTATAGGGATCCCCGTGGTACACAATCTGAAAGAGAGGTTGGAAGGCTGTGGAGGTACAAATACAATGACCCCTTCTTATACACTCTGCTTCTCTACCCATGGGGAGCAAACGTCCTTGCCTGAGGGACCCTTTCTAGAGTACAGAGCTTATGCTGTCATGACCAAGTCGCCCCTTTCATCCTACCAAATTTCCATTCAAGGACCTGCCAGAAATCTAATGCCTGCTGCATGAAGTCTAAACATCACTCTCCCAGATCCTTAACATCGCTTTTTTCAGCTCACAGCTGGCCCCACCTGACTCAGGCAATCCCACTACTCATCTTCTGGTACACCAATCAGCTTCTGACTCATCCCCACATGTGCCATTCCTGTTCCTGCTTGGAATGTTTCCTCCCTCTCTAATATTCCCCTAATTCCTATTCACCCTTCAGGGTACAGACCATACTATACTCACTTTCTAATTTTTACTTATTATTGTATTTTATTTTATTTTATTTATTTTTTTTTTATTTTTTATTGGATTACAGGTTTTGGGGTACATGAGCAGAGCATGCAAGACAGTTGCGTAGGTACACACATGGCAGTGTGCTTTGCTTTTCTTCTCCCCTTCACCCACATTTGGCATTTCTCCCCAGGCTATCCCTCCCCACCTCCCCCTCCCAGACAGGGTCTTGCTCTGTCACTCAGGATGGAGTACAGTGGCACAATCATAGCTCACTGCATCCTTGAACTCTTGGCCTCAAATGACTCTTCCACCTCGGCCTCCCAGAGCACTGAGATGATCCGCCATCATCTACTATGCTCAGCCTGAACCCTGTACCTCCTTTTTGAAGCCTGCCATGATTGCTACAGCTCACATCAATTTTCCCTGCTTGTTATACTTGATTATGTCCTGGCAGGCTCCACTGTGTCCTCTAGTTGTTCAGGGTATAGTAGTGTGTTTCTTGATGGTACTCTTTCCTACATTCTGACTGTGCCAATCTTAGAGGATAGCCCAGAAGAACCTCAACAGGTATTAATGGAGAAAATGACATGTAAAAGTGAGTGTGTGCACAGATACGTTCATTACCTGGCCCATGAAATCTGTGAAGAAGAGCATGTTGGACAGGAAGGCAGTCCATCCAATGAGGTGGCTGATGCAAAGGTAGCGGTAGTGGGGAGGCATGTTCACCAGTGCTCTCAGCAGTGACTTTAATGTCATTGACCTGCGAGTCTGAAATAAAACATGAAACACAGGTGTGACCTTCAATGCAGAAACTTGGCCAGCTAAGGGAACCATAGCACGTGGCCATGTTATGTATTTTTGTCAGTTAGCCATCACACAAAGTATCACTTTTCCTGGGCATGGAACTAGGTTTCCATGGAGTGGACTCACAGGAAGTATTCTGTTAAGCATGAGTGGCTGCTTAGAAGTTTCAGGCCCAGAATGAGGCTTTGGAGCCAAGGGGAAAGGGAATGAGAATGGTGCTAGCTTCAGGCCAAGGTGTAGGAGACACTGAGCATCCTATCTCTGAATGACAGAACTGTTGTACAAGGACAAAGCTCACAGACATAAACCATCTCCTAATTAGAATTCTTGGGCCTCTTAACTGTGAGAGCATAGTAGGCAAATCCAAGATGGCTGTCATGACCTTGGTCCCCTGATGTCATCCTGTTCTGTTACACGGCAATGGGACTTTGCAGCTATATTAATAATTAAGGTTACTAATCAGCTGACTTTGAGTTAATTGAAAGGGAGATTACCTGGATGATTGTAACCAAATCCCATGAGCCCTTGAAAAGTACAGAATTTTCTCCAGCTGGTAGTAGGTGGGAAAGTCAGAGCAACTCCAAGCACAAGAAATGCCTGCTTTGAAGCTGGAGGAAGCCACATGAAAAGGATCTGAGGGTGACATTTAGGGGCTGAGAGCAACTCCAGGCCAACAGTCCACAAGAAAGCAGGGACCTCAGTCCTACAACCACAGGGAACTGGATTCTGCCAACATCCTGAATGAGCTTGGAGGCAGACTCTTCACACAGAGCTTCCTGATGAGAATACAGCTCTGCCAACACTTTGATGTCAACCTTATAAGACCCTGTGCTGAAAACTTAGTGCAGCTCACCCAGGCTTCTGATCTGCAGAACTGTGAGATAAATAAACTGATGTTGTTTTAAGCTGCTAAGTTTGTGAACATTTTTTTATTTATTAGAACATTAATACAGAGAGCCAGTCAGTTCCCTGCTCTTAGCCAGCTATTTCTTCCCAGGTTATTTCTCTGGATTCTAATGATAGCAGACACATGTTAATGAGCCCTACATTGAGTAGAAGTGAGAACAATGTGGAACTCAAATACATATATTTATACACACACACACACACACACATACACACATGAGGAGTCTTCAATATGTTCATGGAAAATGCATATTATGAAAAAATTATACATGGATTTCAAAACTTTTTTGAAGCAAAATAAACTCATACTAACTTGTTATAGCATGTCTGAAGAGGATTTAGTTTGAGGCACTAAGAAGGATAAGACATCAGTTTGAAAAAAGCCCCTAACAAAGCAACATGAATTCTACTAAAATTGAAGCTAGACTAAATATCAAATTTATGGTGAAGCTTTGGTGGAAGAATGGTGACATCACTGATTTTTTGTAAGTTTATGAAGACAATGTCCCAAAGAAATCAGAAGTTTACAAATGGATAACTCATTTTAGGAAGGAACCAGATGGTGTTAAAGATGAAGCCTTCAGGGCAGACCATCCACATCAATCTGCAAAGAAAAAATTGTTGTTTATGCACTAATTGAATAGGACTCACAATTAATGGTAAAAACAATAGCCAACACCATAGGCATCGCAGTTGTTTCAGATTACACAATTCTGACTGAAGAGTTAAGGTTTAGCAAACTTCCCACTCATTGGGTACCAAAAGTATTGTGCCAAGATCAACTGCAGACAAGTACAGAGCTTTCAGTGAAAATTTTAAACATGTAGGATCAAGATCCTACAGCATTTCTTCAAAAAAATTTTAACTTGAGATGAAACATGGCTTTATCAGTACAATCCTGAAAACAAAACACAATCAAAGCAATGGCTACTGAGAGGTAGAAATGGTCCAGTCAAAGCAAAAGCAGACAGGGCAAAGGAAAAGGCCATGACAAAGGATTTTTGGGGATGCTCAGGCATTCTGTTTGTTGACTTTCTGGAAGGCCAAAGATCAATAATATCCACTTACTATAAGAATGTTTTGATAAAGTTAGCCAAAGCTTTAGCAGGAAAACACCCACAAAAGCTTCATCAGAAAGTCTTTGTCCACCATAACAATGCTCCTTCTCCTTCCTCTCATCAAACAAGGGCAATGTTGTGAGAGTTTTGATGGAATGTCTTTAGGCATCCACCCTAGAGTCCTGAGTTGCCTCCTTCTGACTTCTGTTTTCTAATCTTAAAAAAAATCTATAAAGGGCTCCCATGGTTTTTCAGTTAATAATGTAAAAAAGACTGCATTGACATGGCTAAATCTCCAGGACCCTCAGTTCTTTAGGATGGGATAAATGGCTGGTATTACAGCTTACAAAAGTGCCTTGAAATCAATGGAGCTTGTGTTAAGAAACAAAGTTTCTTCTTTTTAATTTTTATATTTTCATTCTATTTCTCCATTAACTTTAGGAAGGCCCATCCCACACACATATGTGTAAAAAATGAATATATAGGCTCCTTATTCTTTTAGATTTAAATTTGGTTAAAACTAGAGGCTACAGGTTTTTTTTGATTTCAGAAACACTGAGAGAATGAGAAACTTTAAACTATTGATGCAACCGTTTTGAAATACAAAGGATAATAACATTTAGCAACTTGTCATATAAGAGAAGAAAGAAATCTTGGGAATACTAAGCAGTCAACTGCCCTGAAGACACTGAGACCATAAACATCAGCCACGATGCGGTAATGAGTCTTTCTTGTCATATTTTTATTTATTCTGAATTATGACACTGAGTACTAGTTTATAAGACAGTCAACTGAGATTTTCTATTTTAACTGTAACAGCATATTTTTTACACTTTGTAACCTTATATAATCATGCTTTTTGCTTTTTTGTTGTGGAAAATTATATTCACCCATTTTAGTTTTGTTGTGTAAGTTGATTTTTTAAAAATTCATCAATCTTGTAGTATCTAGCCCACTGACCATAAACTGTACTCATTTTCTGATAATCAGTGTTAAACACTGTAGACATTCCCCTGGACTGAAGAAAAACAACCGTTTTTCTGCAAGTAGAATATGATACCTATAAAAATAAATGATTATAACAGAAATGAAGTGCAGAATTACTACTTCTTTCTCAACGACAGAAAGAAGCAGCTAACAATATAGCCCCAGAAACAACAGCCTAATTTTCATGATTTATCTTCACTTTCCTTCCTCTTTTTCCAAAAATGCAAAATTGAGAAAGTGAATCTGGCCAACAAGTATTCAGCCTCATTCTAAATATTAATATATGCTTCTGACTTACACATAATTTTCAGCCTGCTTTGATTGTTAGACAACTTTCTCCTTTCTTCTAAAAATAAATATGAACTTTTAAAATGTTCTAGTATTTCTGTAAAAGCTGGGAGTGCAAATATTCAAAGCCTCTTTGTATACTTTAACTCAGAATAAAAATTCAGCTGGCATATCATTCCTGACTGATCAATTCCCTTGGTGAAATCCTTTCAATGGTTTTGAACCCCTGGGAATTGTTTACTGCATTTATTTTGCACCACTGTCAGCTGGAGATTGGGTGGGATGAATTTACAAGAGAAAAAAGCACAGAGTCATCAGAGAGAGATGAAACTTCACAAATGTACCCTCAAAAGGAGACTATAAATGTTAAAGGGAGCAACTGAGGGCATGGAGGCATTGGAGATAAATTTTATGATATCTGGCTTAAACTCCTGACAAAATTCAGCCCTCTTGCCATTAAAAAGAAAACTCTGTTCTTAAATTACACAATCACCTTTATTTTGGAAAGCAATGCCCTTGACAAACAATGACAGCCCTGCAGCCTTTGTCCTAGCCCTGGAGAAGTATAGACTTCCTTTGCCTAACTGGAGACCTTCCAAGGCGCACATTTGGAAGAGAAGAGCGAACATATGGCTTTGAGAGTAAGATGTATTACTCCATGCTTTATTCTTCCTTCATCCTTTCATTTTATTTTATTTGCTTATTTATTTATATTTTTAGAGATGGGGTCTCACTCTGTTGCCCCAATGAGTGTACAACGGCATGATCACAGCTCACTGCAGCGTCAAACTACTGGGCTCAATGGATCTTCCCATCTCGGTCTCCTGAGTTGCTGGGACTACAGGAATGAGACATTGCACTGGGCTCAATTTTGTTTTTTAAACCAATAACATAATCATTCAGAGCCTATCAAATTTTGTGTGTGGTCCCTAATAGACAGTTAGTTGTATCTTGTATTTGTTTTCATGTGGGAGTTCCATGCCTTTCAAATGGCTTCTACTCACTTGATTTCATTTGACTCTCACAGCAGCCTGAGTGGATGAGACAACCTCTGTGTTGTGTGACTCTTGGAGAGGAAGTCCTAGTTTACTAAAGAGGATATCAAAGAGGAAGATAATCTATCAGGGTGTTATCTATTATCACTTACATGCTTATCTTTAGTAAAACCCCACCTTGCTTTGGTCCTATAAACCACCACATTGGTTTTTTTTATTCTCATTATTTGATTACTTTTTTCCTTATTTTTTAATCTATTATAGAAATTTTGGATGTATTGCAGAATTTAAAAATAGAAAATTAAAGCTTCCTGTTAGCCTATCATCCAAGCTTTTAATTTTTGGTATATTTCCTTTCCATTTTTTCCTCTTATGTATGCATCTTTTCCCCAAAAAGCAAAGATTGTTTTCTGTATGTACTGTACATTTTACCTGATATGTTTTTAGTAAATCTTCAAAGACATGTATTTTTTAATGACTGCATGAATTTTATCATATAGATATACCATGATTCTTGGGCTGCAATGCATAATTGCACCAAGGGCTCCAGTCCAACTAGTAATCTTAGAGTTCTGGTTTGTTGCTGAAGGAGGGGCAGGGAGTGCAGGTATTCTCTCCCATGCAGCCCAGTGTAGGGAAACGAGGTTGAGTCCAGGCCTTAGGAGACCTAGATTCTCATATTTTCTCTACTTGTGTGATCAAGATAAAATGAAGGCTTTATCCCAATGAC